CTCTCACCTGCAGCCGGCCGATGGCCACCAGGCAGTACTTGCTGCCCTGTCCCACCTCGGCGTCCTCCTCGGGGATGGTCATTCCTGGAACGAGAGAGGCGGGCGTCAGGCACACACGCGCCCGGGGCGGACGGAAAGGGGGCGAAGGTGCCCCGTGATTTCGCTCCGGCCATCGGAACTCGGGTCCAGGGCTGGCCCCTCGGGGTCAGTGTGTGAGCCGGGCAACCAGCCCCCCACCGGCCCCGCTCTCTGCCTGGCATCTGTATTTATTTTTTATGTATTTTATTATTTTTTTTTACAGAGAGGAAGGGAGAGGGACAGAGAGTTAGAAACATCGATGGGAGAGAAGCATCGATCAGCTGCCTCCTGCGCACCCCCCAATGGGGATGTGCCCGCAACCAAGGTACATGCCCTTGACGGGAATTGAACCCGGGACCCTTCAGTCCGCAGGCCAACGCTCTGTCTGCTGAGCCAAACCGGTCAGGGCTCTTTATTTTTTTTAAATATATTTTTATTGATTTCGGAGTTGGGAGGAGGAGGGGGATGGACATCCATGATGAGAGAGAATCACGGATCGGCTGCCTCCTGCACGCCCCCCACTGAGGACCGAGCCCACAACCCGGGCCTGTGCCCTTGACCGGGAATCGAACCCTGACCTCCTGGTTCACAGGTCGATGCTCAACCACTGAGCCACGCCGGCCGGGCTGCCCGACGTCTTTCGATAACTTCGCGGTACCTGTCGCCTGCACGTGTGGGCGAAGACGCAGAGGAGGTTAAGGAAGATGAAATGTGAGCGATTCCTTTACGCATTTGCAAAACGGGTCCGAACGCCCCAGGTCAGAGCGCGGCCGGGAGATCGGCCACGTGTGACCGGGTTTCTGAGCACCTACTAAGCACCCGACCGACTTTCTGCTGGGGACCAGGGACCCGGCGCCTCCTCCTCCTCCTCCTCCCCCCACCCCCCGGGGAGCTCACGGAGGGCGGGGGAGGGACTGTCAGGATGCCATCTGGTTAGTGTTAGGGCCGGGGAGGGGCGCGCGGCCAGGGCCGGACGCCAGGGCCCCCGGGGGTGGGCCAGGAGGGGCCGCTTCCTGGCAGGGACGGGGCTTATCTGAGTGGTTTTTACTAGGAACACGAGCCTTCTGGCCATGGGAGCGAGATTTCGACGATTCCCCGGTGGGTTTCCCAAGCTCAGTGGGCCCTTCTAAACCACCTTTGCTTGTGGCCTGAATAAACCTGAGTAAGACACACACACACACACACACCCCAAGTGGAACTAGAAACTGCTATTCGGGAGGGAATTCGGCACCAGCCAGAAACGCTTCTCAGGCCCTGGCCAGTGTGGCTCAGTGGATAGAGCCTCGGGCTGCGGACTGAAGGGTCCCGGGTTCGATTCTGGTCAAGGGCACGGACCTGGGTTGCAGGTTCCCCGGCGCCGGTTGGGGCGCGTGCAGGAGGCAGCCAATAGGTGTGTCTCTCTCACATCGATGTTTCTGTCTCTCCCTC